CATCTCTGTGTCCTCCTCCATGGACGGGGTCTCCAAGGCCCAGCAGCAGGGGTTTCAGGTGCTCAGAGGTTCCAACTTCACCATCAGCTGCTCCATCCAGCCACAGTACCCAGGAGGCTCCTTCCAGCTCACCTTCACCTCCTCCAACTCAGCACACAACTACACCCAACCAGCTGTCAATCACTCTGCCTACTTCCTGTTTCCTGAAGCAGAGCCCGCCCACCAAGGAAGCTACAGCTGTGTTTATCACCTCTATGTTTTCTCTCATAACTTCTCCTCTGAGAGCCGTCTGCTCTCCGTCACTGTCTCAGGTAAGCTGACTGTTTACATGCAGGTTTGGAAAAGATGATTGGTCCACACTGACTGAAAATGATCAGCTGACCACATGTTGTTTCTGGAATGACACTGTGACGACTGTCATTGTGTCACACATGTCATATAGTAACCAAACTTATACAAAGTGTTTCAATGGCAACAGCAACAATTTACTGTAGGACTGAGCATGTTTGGTTACCAGTATAACTCTGGTTCTCTGACAACTCAGTGAGGTGTTACTATCATAGACATATATACGTAGATGCCACATCGAGCGCTGAGCTGTATGTTGCCGCCATATTGGATGTGGCAAGGCTGCGCCGTAAACTAATACAAGTAAATGGACTTAATTTCATAAAGCGCCTTTCTACAAAGAAATTTACGTTAATGCCTCTCGTTTATTCATTCACACACACACTAATATACTTGGGAAACAGTTAGGCACCAAAAACAATGTATTTGATCTTCTCAGATGGCTAAGATAAGAACTTTATTGATCCCACACAGGAGTAATTCACCTTACATCAGCTATGTATATATATATATACTGCTCCCATTTTTCATGGGCTGAACTCAAAGATCTAAAACGTTTTCTATATACACAAAAGACCTATTTCTCTCTAAAAGGCCACTCTGAAATGTGTGTTACCAGTCCATGAATGGAGGGAAGAGTTGCTTTGTTGTGCAGCGTGTTAGCCGAGGATCATCTGTTGTGGATGAGTAAAGCTAAAAGAATTGTGGTTCCTGATGCAGTCCTTGCTGTGCAGTGTTCCAGTGGTGTAGAGGAAGCTGTTCTCTTTGTGTGTCCTTACAGAGTTAGCAGTTCAGCGCTAACAAGGCTTTGTTCTTCTTTGCTTGAACAAAATCACAGAAGCTCCAGCACGTCTGTTGGGATCACTGGACTCCACAGATGCCAACAGACGTGCTGGAGCTTCTGTGATTGGTCACAGCAGAGGGTGATTCCTATAGTGAGACACTGAGCGAGGGTCAAAAGAGAACCAGACACTGAAGCTGTTTGTGGTTTGTTCTAGTTTACACCTGAGTACTGACTGTTTAATGTCACAGGTACAGCTAGAGGCTTCACTGTATCGGCCTACTGTCTGGTAGGGAAACACCCACATGTCAGCCCACATAGAAAAGTCTCACTAAAGTCACCTCAGGTTTATCTCTACAGATTATTTTCACAGGACTTTATCATGTGAACATCAAAAGATGTAATGACTTTCTATGTGTTTGTTCAGATCCAACACCTTTCATCATCAGAGCCGTCGTCCTGCCGCTGAGTCTGCTGTTGGAGAATATGGTCCTTTACTTCTACTTTAAGGTACTGACATGTGTCTGTTGTTTAGACCTGTGACTGACATGAAGCACTCAGTCTGTGTTTATTGAAGTGAAGAGAGGAGTGATGCAGGAAGTTGCATGTGTGTGCTGTCATGTGTCTCCAGGCCAGCAGGGGGCAGAAGGTGGCCAGACAGGAGAACATTGAGCTGGATTATTATAACCTGGGTGTTGCTGCAGCTGAAGGAGGGCCGACTGAAGAGGAAGGAGCTCAAGGAGCAGAGTAGCACCTCCAAGGAGCTCACCTCACATCCACATGGGTTTTTATACGCATGTCAAAGTCACAATATAAAAAACAATCATATTTTACCCCCCCACTCAAAACACAAATGATCAGAATAAATATATGATCTGTCAGTCACAGTTAATAACCAATACTGACAGTAACTGCAGAAGGAAAAACTAAATAAATAAAAAAACAGAAGAAACTGGTGAGTAGTGATCAGACAGACTTTATAAAATCAAGGCTGGCCTCAGATAATGTCGGAGGTTATTGCATCTCAAAGATGGTCAGGTCCTGGCTTCTCCAGCTGCAGTCCTGTCATTTGATGCAATGAAGGCCTTTGACCATCTAGAGTGGCAGCTTTTGTGGTCAGTGCTTCATGTGATGGGCTTTGGCATTCCTTTCATTATCACTGTCAAGGTGCTGTATGATAATCCAACAGCTATGGTGCAGAATTTGCTCCCCTCCATTTCCCATCTGCAGAGGGTCGAGGCGGTGCTGCCCTTTGAGCCCACTGGTGTCCACACTTTCGTTCGAGCCACTGGCACAGACTGTTTGTCATGCTCCACTGCTGTTGATCACACATCACCATATTTCATTATACGTGGATGACATGCTATTGTACATAAATAATGCTGTTCTGTGTATTCAGCAGATCCTGTCTATATTTGATCAGTATGGGAATCTATTGGCCATATTACCACTGAGTCAGACAATGACCAGTGCCCTGTCGCTTCCCTCATTCCAGTCGTAAAAAATTTCACATACCTGTCAATTGAAAATTTCCCTTCAGTTCAAGCTATAGTTAAACATAATTTCAGCAACATGCTGAATAGAATTGCCTCTGATGTAATCAGGTGGTCTGTGCTGCCAAAGTCCCTTCGCACCTGTTTCAATAATCAAGATGAACGTGTTACCCAGAGCAAATTTTGCTGGCTAGATGCACACAATGTCAACAAGGAAACAGCCTCTACACGACTTCATATCATCTAATTGTTCTTTCTTTGTACGTTTTCTTGACCTGGACAATATTTAGAAACCCTTTAAATCCACCCATCACTATAGAACACATTAGTTTTTATGTCATCCATCCAAACTGGTGCTTTAAGTGAAATTTTCTCTGTGCTTATCGTCCTCTAAAATGAAGAACACTCTGCATTTTGCTCCATACATAAATAACAGTGTTCGTAAATCAACTGAGTCTTTAAGTTTCAGTCGTCCTGACTTTGTCCTTTGGCGTGTTCTCTTGGATCAGCTTTATGAATAAGTCTTACAGCTCTGACTTTTAGCACTCTAGTTTTTGGATTCAGGAGAAAGTTGTACATGTTTACTCTTTTTGTTTTTTTTACCTGCCAGAGATCATAGGAATGACATATATGAATTTTGAAAATGGGTGTGGTTCCTCTTTACTTCCATGATTTTGCTTCTTTCATAAACATTTTGTTTCTGATGAAGGATTTTGTTTAAGGATCTTTCTTAATTTTGTGCTAGAAAAAACCCAAATTTTCTGATGACTGATTTTGCCAATTTAGGATGCAAAATTTTGCTTTATTTGTGATAATAGATTTTGGATTTTTCAACCTGCGGCCCTTCATTTCATGTCACCCCTCTTTCTGCTCCCATATTTCTTTAGCTGTAATATCATTAACACAAAAAAAAGAAATATTATAATTTGATGGAGGATTTTGCTTATTTCAAAGAATTGCGCATGTTTTTTTTGATGGAAAAATTGCCCAATTTTATGATAATGGATTTTGCCAGTTTCATTACTAAAGGCAAGATTTGCTTAATTTTGTGATGGACAATTCTGCATTTTTACAATAAAGATGTTTTCTGAACTTAAGAAAGAAGGATTTTGCTCAATTTTGTGATGGAAGGAATTTTATTGTTTCATAAGAATGTTGCTAAATTTCTCACCGAACAGCTTTGATACCAAATATCCTCATAACTCATCAAAAGTATGAATAAAAATATGGTAATAAAATTGTTTAAAAGAAGTGAAGGAGAAATAAGGAGTGGACAAGACGTGAATGACTGATGAGGTCTATCTGACTGAAGTGCTGCGTCTATAATCACTTTAGCTGATTAACAGTGTGGGGATTATTTTTTTAATTAAATATAATCTTTGGGGTTTTTTTTTTTCCAGGTCTCATCACACAGGTGTCTCGTGTTACTCTGAGCTGCAGTGATGAATCAGTCAGCCAGATGTCACTGTTGGGAGAAAATTAACGCAATACATCATCATCATGTGTTTAGTGGCATGAGATTCATTCATTTTCTTTTATGTGTGTGTGCTCTGCCCAAGATGTACTGTAGTGCGAGTAGTCTGTGAGAGGGACATGACAAAGTTCAAACAGTAATCCCATCTTAATTGTTGTTTGAGAGCAGGGACAGGGAGAGAATGTAGGACTGTTAATTAGTAATTTTTTCCACTTGAACAATAAAGTGAAACAATTACTTATGTAAATGAATGTCCTGACATTGTTTTAACTAAATGTAACTGTGATATGTCCACTATGGAAACAAAATGTCTTCTGTAACATTTCCTCAAAGATGTGTATTCTTTCCTGATGTTTGTAACACTCTGTTATGGACTTGTACTTGAAATGAGTTAATTTGCTGTAACCCTCCAGGTCATTCAGTTGGGTTCAGAGAAATAATATTGATGAAAATAAATGGAAACACTTTTAAGGTCATTTTTAAAGTAATTTGAAGTAACCTGTTGAAGAGCTTGGGTGTACAACAAATGAATGCGCTCATTATTAAGTTCATTTTCAAAAAAGTAAAGGGTTCTTATGAAGGTGGTGTGAGCTCATATTTTGAAAGTTGTAGACATAAGCCATGTGACCTGGTGAAACTTTCACATGTGTGATGATCAAACGACACATCCATATTCATTTGAAATCATGTGACCTAGTGAAAGCTTGACTGATGTGTACTGGCTGCTTTGAGGATATAAGTAACAGCAGGCAGACACAAATATATACTAGTTAATGTCAGTGGAGAAACTGAGCAGGACTACATGTATTTGATTGTGTACTGCTGCAGCACAGTTGTAGCTACAGATTTGATTCAAATTTTAAATGAGGCAAAAGAGTTTGACCTGGAAATCTTGTATTTACATGTTTTTGCTATCAGGCATTTATTCAGGAAGCTGTAGGCCGAGGTCCTTAATAAAGATGTGACACAGTTAATGAGGTTAAATCCATCTGAATTTAATAACAGTCTCGTTATGTGTGACCTTTATTTGTTCAGTTTGTGTCTCAGCTATTTCTGCTGTTCAGATGCTTTATGCTCAGATTATATTCAGTTGAGGGAGCGACAGCACCACCTGCTGTCAAAACTCAGTACTGGTGTGACGTAGTACATAGTGGAGGATTGTGGGTAATTTTCAGAGCTACTGAGGATTTTCCATGAGGTCACAGGCCTGTGGATGTCTGTGGACAAATATAAAGTACTTAAGGTAAAATAAAATTAAATAAAACAATGAAAGAGTTATTTAATGCAAAATAAAATTTATGAAAATAATTTATCACCCAGTTTTGATGTATTTAAAAACAAATTAAACAAAACAAAGGAGTCATTTTGACGTAAAATTAAAAAAAAGAATTATAAGCTGCTTTTGATGTAAAATAAAATGAAGTTTAAAAAAGACAGTCGTCACACTGGAACATTTTAACAGAGATTTTCAACTGTCTCCTACTTTTCTCTTTTCCTACAGAAGAAGAATGTGCCGCATGCACTGCTTCATGCAGACACACACACAAACTCCACCCTCCACAAACTTCAGGACAAAAGCCACAGGTTTGTTTTTTCATGCTAAAATGTTGCTGCATGTTTGTGTCAGTAAAAAACACATTTTCCATCTTCACCACCAAAATTAAAAAGATAACCCTATAATGATGGGTTGTGCCCCAGCAGCCTGCATGAAGACTGCCTGTGACTGATGGCATGTGTGTGTGTCAGAGCAGCTGTAATGTTCTGGTGTCATGTGACTGCAGTTGGTTCAGATCCAGGTCGGAACACGTTCTCACCACAAACCAACCGCACCAGAGTTCGTTTGTAGTCGGACAAACCGGTCCGGTTGTTTTGGTGCGCACCTGAGTGTGATTGCTGTGTTCACACCTGCCCAAACTAACCGCACTGAGGGGGCAAGCGAACATGAGTTTGATTGAAGCGAACCAAACAGGGCAGGTGTGAAAGCTGCCTCAGACACAAAAACACAGGAGAACAGGATCCAAGTTGAAAAATACCACACTTTCTTTTTATTATGATTACTGTCTTCCACTTCCTGTCTGTGACCTTTTTCAGTGTTTATGGAACATGAAGAGAGTGATGAAACCTAGAGAAGCTCAACATAGTTGGCGGGGAACATGCCATAGTGTCCGTCAGGTCCGTATCCTCTCCACCAGCCTTCATCCACCATCTCGATCCCCGTTATGATGTCATCAGGGTCAAAGGTGATCTCAGTGTCGTCCGCTGTGGAGCAGAGTGCCGGTAAGATGAGCAGCATCAACATATGTCAGTTTGAACATAGTGTGTGTGTGTGTGTGTGTGTGTGTGTGTGTACATACCGGCCTGGTAGTCATACAGAGCTCTGGCTCTGATGTCCTGTCCACTCGTCCCCACATCCTGGTCTCCATCCTGACATTTAAAACACATAAAAAAATCTGAGTCGACAAAAGAAACAGGTAACAGTTCTCCACAGACGTTAGCTAGTGCTAGCTAACAAGTTGTGTTGTCTTGTTTTAGACGAAGGAGGAAGATGATGTGAGTGGTGCTTTCAGAAACACTCATTGTGAGTGTGGGAGCGCACTCTGACACAAACTGGAGCGTTGATTAAATTGGGAGCGCTGTCTGAATGTAGCGTTGGGTTATCCAGAGCAGCGCACTCTCAGAGTGGCAGAGCGCACTCTGGACACTTTGTCTGTGGAGACGGAGCAGCAGAGCGCCGAGCGGAGTGAATGTGTGATTAACTTAACCGTTGGTTCATTCATGTAGAAATATAATGCTCCCTTCTCCCTGTGTCAGTGTGGGTTTCCTCCAGGTGCTCCGTCAGACTGAATTTACCAACGCACCATGTCAGGTCACTCACTCTCCGGGACCG